GGCGTGGTTTATTTAAATGAGATTCTGGGGCGTGGCCAAAGTACGCGCGCTCTGATTGGTCAATTCTCTTCCCGCCCAAAACCTGCCGGCCCCACCCCCTTAGTTGTCCTTCCTTGCTCTGATTGGCTTGCACCCGGCGAGGCGGGAAACGCTCGGCCAATGAGCGTGCTGCGTGGGCAGAGGGGGTGGGGCCTGGCTCTGAGGGAGGGGGACTCGGGGGGGAGTCGTGAGGGGCTGGGGTCACCTGAGGGGAAATAAAGGAGAAATGGAGGGGAATAGAGGGGTTTGTGAGGGGCCTGTGAGGGGCTGGGGTCACCCGAGGGGAAATAAAGGAGAAATGGAGGGGAATAGAGGGGTTTGTGAGGGACTGGAGTCACTCTGAGGGGTTTGTGAGGGGTCTGTGAGGGGCTGGGGTCACCCGAGGGGAAATAAAGGAGAAATGGAGGGGAATAGAGGGGGTTTGGGAGGGACTGGGGTCACTCTGAGGGGTTTGTGAGGGGTCTGTGAGGGGCTGGGGTAACCTGAGGGGAAATAAAGGAGAAATGGAGGGGAATAGCGGGGTTTGTGAGGGACTGGGGTCACTCTGAGGGGTTTGTGAGGGGCCTGTGAGGGGCTGAGGTCATCTCAGGCGAAACGGAGGGGAAATGGAGGGGTTTGTGAGGGGTTTGGGTCACCTGAGGGGAAATGGAGGGGCTTGTCAAGGGTTTGTGAGGGAATGGGGTCACCTGAGAGGAAACAGAGTGGAAATGGAGGGGTTTGTGATAGGTTTGGGTCACCTGAGGGAACATGGAGGAGAAATAGAGGGGTTTGTGAGGGGCTGGGGTCACTTGAGGGGTCTGGGGTCACCCTGAGGGGACATGGAGGGGTTTGTGAGGGGTCTGGGGTAACCCAGAGGGGTCTGTGGGGGGCTGGGGTCTCTCTGAGGGGACATGGAGGGGTCTGGGGTCTCTCTGGGTGGGTCTGGGGTCCCTCTGGGGGGTCCCGGGACCCCCCAGTTTGGGGAGAGGGGCTCCCTTTCCCCTCCCCTCCCCCCCCGGTGCCCTTCCCCTCCCCCCGCCCTTCCCGGCCCCCCCACCCCGATTTCCTGGCCCGGCTCGGCCCTTCCTGCCCCCCCCCGGGAAACCGGGGACTGGCAATTCTTCGGGAATTCTTTGGGAATTCGGCACCGCAGCGGCCGCGGGGAGCCGGCACCGGGGTAAGGGGCGGCTTCTGGGGGGGTTCTGGGGGGAAAAAGGGGCTGGGGGGATCGAGGCTGGGAAAAGAGGGGAAAAGGGCAGAAAAAGGGAAGAAAAATGAGAGTTGGAGGGTCCCGGGTGGAGTCTGAAGGGAAAAAAAAAGAGTTTTGGGGGCAAAAAGGGTGGGAGAGGGGGATTTGGGTGGTCCTGGGTGGAGTTTTTGGGGAAAAAAGGGTGGGAAAGGGGGCTTTGGGTGGTCCTGGGGGGGGTTTTTGGGGAAAAAAGGTGGGAAAAGGGGTTCTGTGAGGGTCAGAGTTGGGATTGCGGGTTCGGGTGCTGCTGGAAGCTGGGGTCTCAGGAGGGTGCCCCAAAATCCCCTTTTTTCTCCCCTTGTTCCCCAGACGATGCTTCCCGAGGAGCGCAAGGAGGGCTCGCCCCGCTTCGGGAAGCTCCATTTCCCCGTGGGGCTCTGGATCAACTCCCCCAAAAAACGCCTGGCCAAGATGAGCCGCCGCTGGCCCAGCGCCGGCTCCGTCCGGTGCGACCCCAAAG